GATAGAGTGTCTTGAATCATTGCCTCGGGGGTTAATTTCTTTAATTTTGCGAAATTTTACTGAACTTGGATAATATTTGCCCTCCAAAATTGGCGAGAACACGGCAAAAGGTCTTTAGTCTCTGACCAGCATCATTTCCCGTTTTATGCATGGCTCTAAGCGAACTTTTTAGATAGCAGGCCTGTTGGCCAACTATGAGGGATCAAGTATGTTTGTGCAATTTCGTCACAGGAGCTGTCAATGATTGCAACATATCGACCAGCGGCAATACCTTTCTCAAATTGAGAGGCAGTAATTAATAGCGGGCGACTACTCTGGGCCTGAACTTAGGCTGGCCGAGGTAGACTAATCCATATGCTAACTTGTGTTGCGAAACCAACCTAGACACTCCCCGTGCTTGTGGTTTCACTATGTGTCCATCAAGATTGTCGGGTGTCGCCTATCCGCTACTAGTTATACCATCATCTTTTGTTACGTCTGATATTCGAGACTGCAACGAGAATACGCGTAACTGGTATCAGATCTGTAGTTTGTCCCGTTGTATCCCGTAATGAGGCATTATACTCTAGCCCATGTCATTGCCAGACATCAATGTATATAGACAGTCTCATATCCTTTAGTAAAGATCAAGAGTTTCGATCAAGCCTTTACCATAAACATAATTCACATCTACGGATACCCTTTGAAGAATATACTTCGTTATTTCTCCGTGATCACTCGAAGAGTTCTGCATATTCTAAGTTTAATTTCAACAACTTGTAAGATTCACCATACACGACAAATCGTCATAATGATACAGCTGAATACATTTCGATTTTGAAAAATTAATGCATCACGACAACTAACACACAAGATTTTCTTTTAAATCATAGGTGGATAGCAGATATAGATTAGACTCCCTACTTCATTTTCTCCTCCTCGCCCCATTTGTCTCACTCTTGTCACATGGTAATAACTACAATCACTATCAACTACTACAAATCGATCTGTAGATTGCCCTGGAAGCACATTAGCTTTCACATAGTAGGGTAAACGGGAATTATTTGGGTGGCTTACCATAGTCCAAATTGCCGTCACTGCCTATCATTGGCAGAGGCAAGTAGACGAGCTTGGTTTGATCTTCAGCCATGTATCTTTCCATGAAGTTATATTCTCCAAGTTTCCATCTATTGCCTTCATATTTACAATATCTACTATAGACTTCCAGTATCATCGACCTTGTGTATGTATGTGAATCGCAGACTGCGCCTTGATCCATACTATATCGAACGATTGTTGCATTTACACAAGCTAGAGCGGATGCGGCTAGAATAAGATTTTTGGCTGATAACATTTTGGAAGGCGTGGGATTTGGAGGGCAGAAGAAGAAAGATACAATGGCAGACGGAGAAGGGCAAGAATCTGAATATTTATTGATTTTATTTTCTGTTGTATCTCTCCAGTCGTGTACGTAATAGAAGGACAGTCACTCACAAGAAACATGCCGCCACTATTAGACAATAGTCTTTGCGGGAAATTAGGTCGAGCCTTACAGCAACTGACTTAAATTATCTCACCAGTATTTTTATATACTTTTTGATCCATAACGTGCGGTAATCCTTGTCGGGAATTTCTCCCGGCCTATCGTAATTAGATACTGTTGCCATGACTGAAGCTTTTATGCATTTACGGAATCCTAGGGAAAATTCGACAAGCCGCTTTATTTCCAACCACATTAAACTTAGGATGAATGATAAAATCTTGGCCAAAATGACATAATGCGTCCCTTATCTCGAAATTGCCTTGGCGTCAAGTCTGAGAGTCTTGACTTGCCGTACAACTATGGTCTGGATATTGGTTTAGTTTGGTATTTATTACGGTACTTGGGTCCATGGTTTTCTAGCATATTAGGCTCCTTTCTGAGCCAAGTCATACCTTGCACACTGCTCATGGCCTCTTTTGTTACTTGACAGATTATTGATATATTACCCGTGATGAATAGCCATTCAGCTCAGTATTTACCCGTGAAATTCAGCCGCCTTTTATATCGAAATTTCTTCCCAAAAAAGAGGAGGTAGTAATGTAAGCTGCATGCGCCTGAAAATATCGTAGACAAAATACAGCCCCAGCCAGGTGAGGACTAGATACCGGAGCCACACGAGGTGCGCATATCCATCTATATCTGTTACCGTATCTAGTGCACATACTGTTGTGATTATGAGCTTGCTGTAGTCAATGGGCTAAAGCTCCTGTTTAGCATCGTGCGCAGGATGTGATATCCTTGTGGTTTGATTGTTTTGTATTCAAAACTACAATGATCTAATGAGGAGAAGAATTTTCCAATGTACTAAAATGAGGTGTCTGCACTGAATATTACACAACACAACTACTAATCTAATCCAATGTAATCCCCCTAGATCACACATTACAACACAAACTACTCCCATTCACTATAGGCTACCAGAGGTCTATTCTCAACACCTATCAGTTGTGTCTCCCACGAAACTCTTGTTTTCACCGCAGTCTCCAGAGTCGTTATTTTGGATAACTTTTTCCTCACTTCGATGAGGATTCCTAATCGGTTTCGACGTCTGTATCGTCTTCATCCCTTAGTTTATCCCCATAACAGCATTATCATGGAGGAGAAGCTATCCGACGAGTTTTCGGGGCGTACCCAGCACCTGATGCGGAGATGGTTGATTGGATCTAGTTGGCCTCGACTGTTACAAAGAATGGAGGTGTAGATGAATATGCGCACCTCATGTGGTCCTGATGTCCATGCCTCGCCTGGCTGGGGCTGCAGGTTTTTTGAGACTTTTTTCCCGCGCATGCAGTTTCTATTGCCACCTTTATTGTTTTTTTTTGGGGGGGGTAGAAGGTCCCGTGGAAAAGGTGGCCGAATTCCACGGATAAACGCTGAGCTAAATGGCTATTCATCAAGGGGAATACATCAATGATCTTTCAAGTAACAAAAGAGGATAGGAGCACTGTACAAGGTGTGGCCTGGGTCAGAGAAGAGCCCAATGTGCTAGATAGTCATAGACTCAAGTAGTACGATAAACACATCTCTCTCCATCTTACTGTAGGCGACCCACATATAATTTTGATCCCACGGCCGGCTTAGTCACGGCCCTGTAAATACCTTTCGCTTAGAGACCCTTATAGTTCGTATCGTCGTTCTTCTTGCGTTAATGTTATCCCAGGAAATCAGAATAAACTTTGTACATTTCACTCGACCCTTTGGATCACTAGCTTATTCTGTGACAAAATCTCTCTTCTTTGTAACGGTCGATGCCAACTTGATCCAGTCCACCATCTCCGTATCGGGTGCTGGGTACGCTCCGAAAACTTGTCGGATAGCTTCTCCTCCATGATAATGCTGTTATGGGAATGTAATTAGGGATGAAGACGATACAGACGTCGAAAACGATTGGGAATCCTCATCGATGTGAGGACTTTGTTACTCAATCTCGGCTGTGCAGACTCTACAGTGATAACTGGAGGTTCGTAGGGGACATCATTGACAGTTGTGCTCCGCAATCTCACGATCCTTCCAAGCCCCTGATCAATATGGCGCCTAGTTGGTGCAATATATTATACGGGGCCCATCCTACTGCGCCCCAATGATTACTTGAATTTTCAGCTGACCTAGACTATGGTGGAACCATGACAGTTTGTGAAACTAGATTCATGATGAATTTTGTCTTCTAAGTTTACTCGGCTATCTAGCTATGACACATATCAGTGCTAAAAGCCCTGAATATTAGTGAGAGAATTGATTAGACACCCCATTACCATTGCCGTTCCCTTCCGACTTACATACACTTACACTAATCCGAATTCTCTCAGTAGCAAGATCCCGGATCTCCAACATGTCTCCGGGGCTTGCCAGATCATCGCGACCTATTTGTTTTCAAAGAACCATTGATAGAGCGAAAACCAGGCTGGAAAAGCGCTTGGCAAAAAAGAACATACCATTGAGCTCGATAGACGGGCGAAAAATGGAGCTGGACATGACCGAAATGATAAGAGCCTTCGAAGAAGATTCTAACTCCACGAACCCCAATGTCGAAATGGGTGATGCGGTTATTGACCGATATATCCTAGAGGGACTTGAGAGCTCACAATGGAATATAAATGTTGAGACTTAATATATACATTATTATTACGGGGTAAATAATATATCGGTCACATATTTGTCTGACTGTTAGTGGTCATCAGTTGGGCAGGAAGCCTGCATGACATGTTGTGTTATGGAAGATCAAGGTCACGTGATGGTGGCCTTCGGATATTAAACAGGAGGCGGGAAGACAGATCACTCGCCCCGTTCAGGACACGAGTAAAGGACACGAGTAGAAGATAGTAGTATTGGCTCTACAGAGCTGGATCACTCGTGGACTATGAATGGTGTATATATGACTGGATATGTGTATTGTAATTTTGTGAAGTCTTTATTAGTATAACAATTGTTATTTTATTCCAACAGATTATGAGACCAACTCTCTGAACAGCTGAGATAACGTTGAATTAAATTAACAACCTTCCGAGTCGACAAAGATAGAATCCGTACTCCTTGTGTCTGAAGCTTTGAACACCAGTCCTGTTCATTCCACCCTGTTAGAACTGGAGCCGTAACAAGTTAGTTTTACACCATATCAACTGCCGATATTTTAAAAGGCATCAAAAACGCACCTATCTTGGGAAAATCAACTTACGACAGATGGAGCAGATTATTTTCAATGTGCTTATATGGGTTGAACCTCGAAAAGTTTATCTCTGATGAGTTGCCTGAATTATATGATGACAATGAGCCGAAATCATCAAAAATTCTCCAAAAATCCGCAAAGACTAGCGACAATAATGTGAGTGCGGCCTTACTTCAAGTTGTGCCTGAAAAAGTGTATTATATTCTCGAAAGTTTACCCACTGCACGCTTAATGTGGATATCGCTGAAAGCATATTATCAGCCAAAAAGTGAGGCAGTTGTGGATACACTATTAGAAGAATTTTGGAGTTTCTCGATGAGTGAGGGGAAAGACGTTGGTAAATATGCAAACGAGCTGTCCCAGAAGCAATCTCAAGTGGCGTCACTTGATCCTTCGAAGCGCCCCTCGGACATAACAAAAAAGAATCGCCTGTTACGACATTTCGAATCAGAATGTAATGGATACTATGGAGGTGTCGTTGCCTTTCTACGATTAAACACGTCAATTTCGTTTAGTCAGAGAGTAAACACTTTGAGGGAAACGCAATCAAGCCTCAATAGACAAAAGGAGGCGGCGACGGTAGCGCACATAAGACAGAGAGCTAGGAATAATGCTCCCAGGTCAATTAAGTATTGTGCTTACTGAAAGCGCGCTAATCATATCCGTGAAAGCTGTTTTGACTGGATTGAGACTCCTGATGGTACTAAGTGGGCTGCAAAGAACCCTTCTAAAGCTGCAATTGTGATGAGACGTAAGGAGGCATATGGTAAGAGAAGAAAAGATAGGGACGACGTAAGCTCATCAAATGAAGGTGCGTGGACTTTAGAAGAACAATTTGCTTTTGTTACGGTTTGACCGTTGTTTGAGCTTAGGTGGATACCTAAGCCTAATACTAAGAATTCTTACAATGAAGCTGTATGGGGGGAAGATGAAGCTGAACGAAACGGCACTACTACTCAGGAGGCTGAAGCGTTATTACAACTTAGTGATACCTGGAAATACGTGGCTGGGTAAGAAGTATTATGCCTAAGGACAAGTCACAAGTCTGTAGATTCACGAGGAGGATTAACTCTTATAAATACCTGTTAGAAGTAGCTAGAGTTAGCTTTTCTCCTCATATAGTTTATTAAATCGATTTATTCATCACAAACTCGGTTTCCGTCACAATATAAACTATATCATTCAAATCCTTTGCCCGTCATTAATTACATCGCAGTCGTAGATAACTGTGACTTAGGGCATCTTTAATTATTGGTTTCAATGCACAGGGATTCTAAGAATCAACAATGGGTTCAGAAATGAACAATTTTAACATCGGAACGGACTCTATAGCAACTGGTTTATCGAACCAAGAATCTATGCCATATGGAGAAATACAATCGGAAATGCAGCGACTGGTCGAAGAAATGAGATTAAGAGGAATGGAACACAGAAGAGACCTTGGGATTCTAAGATCTCAGATGAACAAAATGATGAAAACGATGCAGGAACGATTGGAGAATGAGAAAAAAACTCCCCTGCAGCCGTCAAGAGCTAATGTGGGAGGCCAATCAGAACGCAGAGAATATTTCATAGAAGAGGAACCACTTAAATGGCCAGAAGCATACTACCACAAGGATAGAACTAAGTGGGCGATTACACATGGAATACTCAGGCACATATACAGGCGCGATGTAGAGGAGCGGAATATTCTTCAACCGTGTCACAGTCTAAGCATAGGCACTTGAGCAACCTTATGGTCAGAGGTAGTTTTAATTTCAATCTATGGTGAACTACAGATTGAAGAGGATAATAACAGTTACTTTATACATAATTATTATCCCAGCCAATGACACAGATTTCTATCCGTATATCCGTATTCCTTACTCGTATTCCCTACTCATATCCCCTACTCGTATCACATTCTCGTGCCCCATCCCCGGACGTGTTACAGTATTATTATTGCCACTTATAAGGCCCTCCTTGTTTCATGCTAAGCCTGCGTTAGACAGCGCAGGCTACAGGCAATGACCGGCTTACAAGCCGTCACAAACCGTCTGACTTTTCAGTGCAATTATTTAGTCATGCAGTGACTAGAACAGCGAAAGATATGATCACAGGTCAGTTTCAGAGTATGCTTGCAAATGGCATGGAATGGGATGCGCTAGGTCTGTTACAGGCTATGGATGATATCTACCGCAACAGAAACGAGGAACAATTGGCGGCCGCACTATTTCATGCATGCCGACAATTCCGGGACGAGAACCTATCGTCATATCTACCGCGCTTCCAGCAGTTACTCTCACGAAGTCCCAGTTCGAAGGAGAAAGAGAAATGCAAGATCTACTTGTTGTGAAACTCGCTGAACAAGACGACGAGAAATTACATGATTGGCAGTTTGCACCCTAGAACACTTCGAGAATTAATTGATTACCTGTCAATCCTGGGTTCTGAAATTGACGAGGTTGGTATAGAAATGACAAGGTAATACCTGCTAGGTCAGACTGGCTACTTCGACGACAGAACACGAGGCGTTGCTGGGGGTTAGATTACTAGGGGAGGTCTCACAAGAAATTACGCACCACCTTTCATCCAAAGTCAGCTTGCACAGTAAGGATATGGACAGCAATACAAGGACGATCGGTGTTGATAAAGTCAGTGCGAAGTGGGTATCATGTGTTGAGTTGAATGGGCGCAAAATAGATTGCTTATGCTTGCAATGTGGAAAGAAAGGACACGTCATAGCTAATTGTCGATTGCTTCCTGCTAAGCATCCTGAAATACCTGTCCAAGCTGCAAAATTCGACGTAAAAATTGCAGATACAGTTAAGGCCAAAGTTATGAAGAACATGGTTGCAAAAAGATTAGCTCCCAAATCAAGTTGTCCTCAGGTGCAAACATATGGAGCTATGAAAATGGTCAGTAGCTCAAAATCAATTGGAGATAAAGAAGCAGAGAGCGTTATGAACGGATCTTCTTTCTTTATAGACACTGTGATTAATGGAATTTATTCAGTACCCACTTTGATTGACAATGGATGCGAATGCCTAGCCGCCGTTAGTAATTCATTAGCAGATAGAGCGAACTTAACCCGGATAAAAATAACTCCACGCAAGCTCACAGAGGCAACAGAAAATCATCACCACAAAGATTTTATCACGGAAATGGTTAACATGGAGCTAGACATTGATGGATACCAACGAAGTTTATAGGCGTATGTTATACCAATGTTGTCTCATGATGTTATATTGGGAAAACCATGGATGGAGCGCGAAGACGTTATTTATAATGCAAGGGAACATTTCATGGACATTGGAGAAGCTATTGTGAACGATCGACCAATGAGTGTGTGGGAAAAAGGCCGACAGCCAATGGTGAATTCGCCCTTTGAAACAACAAATATCAAAAGTTTGTCAGCAGGGGTATTTCTTGCAACGGTCAGGAAAGCCAGGAAGTCAAGTGCTGGCACAACTCAGCTATTTTCTGTAACGCTGGCAAATATTCAGAAAGCGCTTGCGCCATCAAAGAAGTCTCCCACAAATTTGGATAGGCTTCCAAATCACTGTAAGGAATTTGCAGACCTTTTTCGGAAAGAGTTAACTGACAAGCTGCCACCTCATTGGCATGGATGTGACCACGAGATAAGGCTTGAGTCTGACAAGAATATACCATGGGGACCCCTGTATGGAATGTCAAGGGATGAGCTACTAGTGCTAAGGAAGACACTGACAGATCTTCTTGATAAGAATTACATTCGAGCGAGTAGTTCACCGGCAGGGGCCCCTGTATTGTTCGTTCGGAAACCAGGTGGAGGCCTGCGATTTTGTGTAGACTATCGCGCCTTGAATGCCATTTCAAAAGCCGATCGCTATTCCTTACCGTTAATTAAAGAGACGCTTGCTAAGCTGAGTAGAGCTAAGTGGTTCACGAAGCTTTACGTGAGTAGCTCGACGATTTCTGCTCGGCTTACGTAGATGACGTACTTGTATTCACCAACAGAGACAAAGAGGAACACGAAAGGCACGTGCGACTGGTTCTTAAAAAGCTTCAGAAGGCAGGACTAGGATTAGATATTGACAAGTGCGAGTTTAGTGTTAAAGAGACTAAATACTTGGGCTTCATCATATCTTCTGATGGTGAGAATTCTGCAGTCAAGATGGATCCTGCAAAGGTCCAGGCAATATCGGAATGGAAGGCACCCACAACAACAAAAGGACTAAGAGGATTTTTAGGGTTTGCCAATTTTTATCATAGCTTTATCAAGGGATTTTCAAGAATCTGTGCACCTCTAACTTCTCTGACAGGCAAGGGTACACCTTGGAAGTGGGTCTCTGAACAAAATGATGCATTTGAATTGCTCAAGGAAAAGTTCGTTGCAGAGCCTGCTCTGGCCCAATGGGATCCCGACGGCGAAACAATGTTGGAAGCAGATTGCTCCTGTTATGCCCTTGGCGGATGCTTGTTACAGAAGCAAGAAATTGGCCTATGGAAACCTGTGGCATACCACTCTCGGAAGCTGACTGGGGCAGAAATGAACTATAAAATTCATGACAAATAACTCCTAGCAATTGTAGCAAGTATGAAAGAATGGAACGCGGAGCTACGGGGTCTAGCGCATGCTTTCACTATCCTAAGTGATCACATGAACTTGAAATATTTCCTGACCACAAGAAGGCTGACAGAACGGCAAACTCGTTGGGCAGAATTTCTATCTCGATTCAGGTATACACTCGTGTATAGGAAGGGAGTAGATAATGAACGGCCAGATACACTCTCGAGAAGGGATCAAGATAGACCTATGGAAGGCGACTCACGACTCTTGAGCCGCGAGCGCCAGGTCTTAACACCAATTCATGCGTCAAAGTTGTGTATTAATGGCATTAATGTTGCAGAAGGCCATGAAATATTCGTCAACGAGGATTTACAGGAACTTTGGAACCAGGCATTAAATAACAATGAAAGGTATATTCAGGTCGTAAATGCGGTTCAAAGTGGAGATCGTGCGTGGCCCAAGGACCTCAAATTTAAAATAGAGTGCTCGGACGAGCCTAGTCCAATTAAGGCAACGATCGCCGCTTGTGAATTTGACAATAGTTTCGGTGTAGTTTGCTACCAAGGACGGATATGGGTACCTTTATATGAGCCTCTAACAACTGCGCTTATCCAGAATACCCATGACTCAGCTGTCTCAGGTCATCCAGGGAGAGATGCAACGCTTGCCCAGGTCGCTCGAGAATATTTTTGGCCTGGAATAAGTAAATCAGTCAAGCGGTTCTGTAAAAACTGTCATGTATGCGGGAGGTCATCAACTTGGCAACACCAGAAACAGGGGCTTCTGAAACCGTTACCAGTACCTGATAGATTCCATCAAGAGCTTTCTATTGACTTTATGGTGGACCTTCCCCAATCAAATGGTGCAACAAACATCATGGTAATTACCGATAGATTGTTGAGATCAGTGACACTGGAGTCTATGGATAAGATGGATGCAGAATCTTGTGCTAAGCAATTTATAGAATGTCACTAGCGCTATCACGGATTTCCAAAGGCTTTAACTAGCGATAGAGGGACTAATTGGACAAGTAAATTCTGGAGAAGACTATGCAAAATGGTTGGAATTGAACAGAGGCTGAGCACAGCCTATCATCCTCAAACTGATGGAGCTA